AGTGTACTAAAGTTTCCCTATCTGTATCCCTATGCCTAGAAGGGCTGGACAAATGACTCACTGTAAGTTTTTCTGATTTCCCCATTAGGATTTGGTTTAGCACGTTTTCTAGATCTCTTTAGAGCTTTGTGGAGAGGAACTCAGCTTTACTGGTTCCTTACCACTCCTCATTTCCTTCCTTTCCTCCTTCCCTCCCCTTTCCTTTCCTCCCTCCCCTTTCCTTTCCTTCCCTTCCCTTTCCTTTCCTACCTCTTTCCCTCCCTCCTTCCTTCCCAGCAGTATAGTGACCCCACTGCTGATCAACATGAAAGTTTTGACCTGCTCCATTTTCAACCTGGCCAGTTCACTCCTTGGGTGACTTGGTCATCCCCTGCCCTCACCTTGGCACTCCCCCTTCCACTGCCCCTGGCTCACAGATTGGTGGCACACCTTAGCTTAGACACGGTTACATACTTTCATGCCTGTGCAAAGGTTCTCCTTCAATGCTGGAATGCATTTCTTCTGCCTCTCCATCTCTTAGGAGCTTCCTTAGAGACTCAATTAAGTTGCCACCTTTTCTGTGAAGCCTTTCTGATCTCACTACTTGTTAGTGCCCTTTCCTTTCTCAGATTATCTTTATTTGCTTCTCTGTGCAATGTTGTATTAACCAGAAGGATGGAATCTCTTTGAGAGCAGGAAGTTTTTCATTTTATTTTGGTTTTGTATTCCCAGGACTTAGCTCACTATCTTGTGCAACTTACTGAATTGAACCACCTCACTTTCCTCTGGTTTTATAGGATCATAGATTTAAAGTTGGAAGGGACCTTAGAGTTCATCAAGTTAACTCCCCTCATTTTATAGATGAGGAGACTGAGACTCAGGTGTAGTGACTTCCACAGCATCACAACTAAAAAGAATCTGAGACAGGCAGCTGTGTTTGAGTGAGAAACAAAGTATAAGCCTCTGGGTGGGAAGATAGAGCTAGTGCAGTAGTCTGCTCTCCCAGCCCAGGTTAACATGGAGCCATGAACTCCTATCCCTATTGATTCTTCTGCCTGAGATGTGACTATGTCTGAGATGAAGGAGTAGAGCAGCTAGAACAGAATGAGCTGAAGCCCTATGAACTTCAGAACTGCAGGAGATAAATCAGAGGTCCAGGACTTGGCATTCATGACAGAGTGACTGAGATTCAGTCCAGCAGTAAATCGACCCTGCAATCAAGATGTTGGGTCCCACGTGACTATCCATCGGTTATGCTGCTTTCAGAAGTTGGTGGACCTAATACTTTGTAGCAACTGTCCTAAGTTTGAACCCACTCTCCCCAGTGACTGAATTGGTAAGGGGAAAAGTGTTTCCTTTTAGTGTTGGAAGCAGGGAGGCTTATATTCTTGCTATATCTTCTCAGTAAACATTCCTTTGTAAAAACTAAGGGAAGAAAAGGGGTGTGAGGCAAGATTCAAATTCCAGTCTTCCTTACCCCATGTTCAGTGCTCTATCTACTTACACACTACCTCTCCTATTTTAGTCCGAGTCTCCTTTTCTACAATTCTAGAGTTCTATGTTCAAAACCCAATACTTTTTAAAAATCTTGGTTCTAGGATGGGTGAGAAGATCTAGGCCATTTGGTAATATCATGACCTGATCTCTTTTCTATGCTTCCTGAAAGCTGAAAGTTCCTGGAACTCAGGTTCAGATCACTGATTCCTCTTGGGTTTCAGTTCAGATGAAATTCAGCAGCCTTCCTTTGTATTCCCTTGTGTACTCCAGGCATTTTTTGAAAATGTTGCAAATTAAAATATAATTGAAAAATGAGCCTGTAACTAAGGCATAAAGGGTAACAGGGATCCAGAGCTGCTGACTTAATAAGGGAAGCTTAATAGCATTACATCTGTATTAATAACAAGACCAGTCAGCCATTAGCAAGAGAAGTTCATTCATTGTAGCTCTGACACTTTCCAGCCTACTTTTTTTTCATGGTAGATAGCTGCTGTTCAGTATCATTCCTGCATTGAGCCAACTCCCTGTAGTGATACAAACATTTGGGCAGAAAAAAAAAAAGGATTTTTCTTCCTTCATCTAAAAGCAATCAGTGGGCAAAAGGCATAAAAAATGACCATGGGCATCCATTGCCCATTGGTGATGCTTGTTTTACTTCAAGCATTGGCTTCAAGGTCCCCTTCCTAGCTCTGTTCTGCTGACAAAATGGTTTCTTCACAGCAGCTCAGAGACAGGGACAATACTGTCTCTTTTGATCACACTATTCTTATGATTTGTTGATTGACCAAAAAAAAAAACCCACCCTAAATTACGCAAATAAACATCACATTTGACTCAGCAAATGAAAAGGTGATCTTAAAGTCCCTGCTCCAAAAAATAAGTTGGGAAAACAAGCATTTATAAATCCCTACTATGTGCCAGGCACTGTGTTAAGCACTTTATAAATGTCTCATCTGATCCTCACAACAACCTCAGAAGGCGAATGCTGTTATTATCCCCATTTTATAGTTCAGGAAACTGAGGCAGTTAGTGGTTAAGTGACTTGACTAGGAGTCACACAGCTAATGTTTCTCTAAGTGTCTGAGGCTGGAGTTGAACTCAGATTCTCCTGAGTCCACCCAGTGTTCTGTCCCCTGCACTACCTAGCTTCTTCTAAAAAAATGGATGCCATGTATAGTTCAAAATCATACATTATGGAAATAATTTGGTTCAATATTTTCAGATAATCAGTATCTATTATATTATAAGTTCCTTTAGGACAGGGACTTGTCTTTTGCTTCTTTTTTGTATCCCCAGTGCTTAGCACAGTGCCTGGTGCAGAGTAGCCACTTAATAAATATTGATTAATTGATTGAAGCAAAGGGGAAGGCAGGGAATAAGCATTTGTACAGTGTCTACTATGTGCCAGGCACTGTGCTAAGCATTTACAAATATTATCTCATTTGATCTTTGCAACCTGCAAGATAGGAGCCATTATTATCCCCATTTTACAGTAGAGGAAACTGAGGCAAATAGAGGTTAAATGACTTTCCTAGGGTCACACAGCTAGTAAGTGTCTGGGGCTGGATTTCAACTTAGGTCTTTCTGATTCTAGCACTCTATTCACTGCACCACCTAGTTGCCTCCGAGAGGCATAAAACAGGGGTTTGCCACAACCATGAAAGATGCCTAGAGCAGAATAGGAATGAAAGAAAAAGTCTTTATAGATGACTCTCGTATATTGTCTTATGATCTTGAATAAATCACTTCACTGAGTATCAGTGTCCTCTTCTGCAAAATGAAGGAATGCAGAATTCCAGAGAATAGCAAGGAGAGTTAAGATTTTCTTAAATAAGCATTGCAAAGAAATAAAAGAAAAATAGAATTGGAAAGACAAGAGATGTCTTCAAGAAAATTAGTGATCTTGGAGTATGTTTCATGCAAAAAAGGCATGATAAAAAATAAAATTGGTAGAGACTTGACAGAAACAGAAGAGATTAAGAGACAGCAAGAACAGAGAGGTGAGTAAAGTCATTGGTTTTCATACATGAAACATACATGAGCAAGAACTCTCTGCAGAGGTGACTTTACTCACCTCTCTGCAGAGAACCTGTAAGTAGTCTTCTAACCTGGATGTTACTTCTTTAAGTCTTTAGGTTTCATTTATATCAAGTATGATGTAATTAGTGACGTCAAACTCAGGGCCACTAAACTATAAGTAAGGATTTCTATGGGTGCATATTGGTTTACAAAACCACATGTTAACACCATCTATTGACTATTGTATTTTCATTTATTTCATTAAATGTCTCCCAATTACATTTTATTCTGGTCCTGGCCACACTTGGGAGTGTTGGGGGGGGGCAGGGAGGGGAGAGATGTGGCCAGAGTGTTTGACACCTCCGATGTACTTAGTAGATAATAATCTGGTTTAAGACTCAGAAAGTCCCAGTGCCGCCTTTGATGTTTCCTGGCTGTATGAGCCTATATCTCTTCCAGCCCTAATATTCCATGTTCTATATCCTTTGCCCTAAGGTTCCTTCCAACCGGTGGTATGCCAGTAAATGTTTAACTACCAGGTCGCTGGGGGGTGAGGAAGAGATTGCCCTTGACACACTTTTTAAGTTTAATCAGCATTATTAGCATTTTTCCATCATTTTCTCTTTTATATAACATTTTATTTCCCCCAATTGCATGTAAAAACAATTTTTAACATTTGTTGGGGTTTTATTAAGTTTTGAATTCCAAATTCTATCCCTCCGTCCCTCCCCAATCCCTTCCCTGAGACAGTAAGCAATCTGATACAGGTCATACATGTGCAGTCATGTACCATCACTTTCTTAAGTTTAAACAATCAGCTGATTTTTTTAGTGTTTGCCAGTTTCTGAGGTACAAATGCTGATGATGTAAATTGAACCATCAGCCCTTGAGAGCTGGTTCAAGGTAGTTCTAATATATGCCTGCTTACAGCCCTAGCATTCTATGTTCTAGATTCAAACACTCTTTGCTGTAAGGTCCCATCTGACTCTTGGATTCTATATTCTAAGAGTCTAATGCCCCCGTATGACCCATAATACCCAAGCACAGTGCCAGCATATAACAGCCATTCCATAAAAATATGACTTGACATTGGATGGATTGAATGACTAGGGAAATATAGGAAGCAGTGAGGGTAGAAATATTGCTAGAGACTTAAAAAAAGACAAGATAGGAAATATGGGAAACTTAAGGAGAGAGTGTGATTTGGGATTGGCCAGATATGGCTGCTCTGTGACTACCCTCCTGTCATAGACACCCCAACAATGGATTGGTGGAGCACCTGCCTCATGCTGTCATGTGTGGTTAGCTTCAAATGGATGGTCACTCATTCTGTCAGGGTCACGGAAAGACTGGCTCCCGACCAGACAGGAGATGGAAAGGAAAACAAAAATGTCCTCAATAAGTAAGCTAAAAATAGCTGTCATGACTCATGACCTGAGATATAAATACCTTGTGGCCCTGGCAGAATGTTTATATATACAGTACAACTTTAGCCCTTGGCTAGCAAGAGCCTTTGGGAAGATGTGCGGGTTGAGGAATGAAAGAAGTAGATGGCAGATTTCTCAGGTTTTTCTCTAGACCCCAGAGCCCCAGAGTTCTATCCCAAGGCAAGACATTTCCTTTCTCTGTTTCTTTTAAAGAAGAAGGGAGATAACACAACTTTCCAGGATAAGTTCATTGTGAGTTTTACTGGAGGCAGGGGTAAGTACTAGATGTCCCCAGGGAATTCCCTTCTGGCTTAAGAAAAGGGGATTCGGGGATTCGGGGATTCTGTGGTTTGCTCAGTCATCTTGAATAAATCTGTGCTTTCCTGCATATCTTGCATTTAATTTTTCTTAATGGCACCCATCCAGGATGGGGGAGAGACCTGGTTTTCCAGAGAGTCACATGAGAAAGATCTGGGGAATTTACTGACTTGCGAGCTCAATATAAGGCAGCAGTGTGATGTGGCTGCCAAGAAAAACCCCCCAAAACTAATGCAATCTTGGGCTGCATTGATAGAAGCCAAGCGTCCAGACCAAGGGAGAGGATTGTCCTACTGTACTCTGTCGTGATCACGCCACCTCTGGAATATTGTGTTCATTTCTTGACATCACATTTTAGGAGAAACATTAGCAAATGAGTAGGGCAAGAGGTGAGAAAGCAGAACGAAATGCCGGGAAATCATGTCGTATGAGGAATATTTTAGGGAACTGTACCTGTTTAGTCCAGTTAAAAAATTGGGGTGGGGGGAGAGAGAAGTGGTGAGGAATTATGATTTCTCAGATCCTACGAAGTATTTGTTCTGTGATTCTGTAATGTGTTATCACATAATGTGTATTATGGGTATTTATGTTTGCATCTTATCCCCAAACTTGACCGTAAGCTACATGGAGGGCAGGAACTGTGTCTTATTGAAACTGTGTATCTGACCCAGTACCTAGCACAACATTATGCCCATGGCAAATATTTGTCAAATGGATGAATGGACGATCACACAAAGGCCTGTTTAGAAAAAAATATAAAATACAACATAGATAATGTTAGCTTGTGGTTTTCTAAGTCAGTATGAGGTCCACAGGGTTATGTTTCTATTTGAATTTGACATCACTAATCTAGTTCCAGCTCATTATTGTACAGATGAGGGAATTGAAGCTCAAGGAGAAATGATTTGCCCAGGGTCACACAGGTAGGAAGTCGTTTCATAAGTGTTACCTGTAATCTTGCTTCTGAGGAGTTAACAGCAAAGCCTCTACAGCAGCTTTTCCCAAACAAATTAGGCCATAGAGAAGTAGAAAGAGGGCATACACCAGCTATGTGACAGCGAGCAAGTCCCTAAACCTCTAAATGCTCTGGGCAACTTCCTAAGGTTAGCAGATAGAGACAAGCTGCTGATTTCCACTGGATGGAGAGTTTCTGTACCAGAAATTCCCTTTTGTTGTTGTCGGGTCATTTTTCAATTGTCCAAGTCTTCATGGCCCCATTTGGGGTTTTCTTGGCAAAATACTGGAGTGGTTTGCCGTTTTCTTCTCCAGCTCATTTTACAGATGAGGAAACTGAGGCAAACAGGGTAAAGTGACTTGCCCAGGATCACATAGCTAGTAAGTGTCTGAGGCCCTGTTTGAGTCTTCCTGACTCCAGGCTCAGCACTCCATCCACTGTGCCACCCTAGCTGCCCCAGAAACTGCCTACATCAATGAAATTACAGGTCCAGAACAACAACAACAACAATATTTTAGTTGGCATTAAGAAATGCGTTGTGGGGGCAGGTAGGTAGCGCAGTGGATAGAGCACTGGCCCCAGATTCAGAAGGACCTGAGTTCAAATTCGGCCTCAGACACATACCACTTACTAGCTGTGTGACCCTAGGCAAGTCACTTAACCCCACTGCCTAGCCAAAAAAAAAAGCATTGTGCCTAGGACTAAGAATACTATAGCCATGTTCTATTTTGGCCCGGTGAGACTTCCAGAGTATTTTGTTCTGTTCTAGGTACCACAGTTTAGCATCAATAAACTGTAGTGATGCAGATGAGGTGCTGAAGAGACATCAAAATTATAGTTAGGGCAGAATCAAGACTAGAACTCAATCGTTCAATTTCATGATAAATTTAATTCAACCACAAGTATTTGTTAAGGCACTGTGATAAGCACTGGGACCACAGAAAATCAAAATGAAACATTTCCTGCCATTGACGAGTTTACATCCTATAAGACAGGAACAATATTGCAGAATAAGACATCCAGCAGAAGGAGAATTGACAAGGGAGAGAAAAGAACTTGAGGAATCAAAGAAGCTTCATGTAGTAAGGGGAACCTAATATGATGCTTAAAGAAAGACACAGTTCTGAGAGACATGGATGAGGAGGGAAGTCATTCCAGGCAAGAGGGCTGTTTATAGGACTTCATGGAGATGAGAGAGAGGAAATATGGTGAACAACTGGTCATGTAGTTTGACTGAAAGAGAGAGTTCATGAAGGAGGCTAGTACGGAATAAAGCCAGAAAGATAAGTGGAAGACAAATTATGAAAGGCCTTACACACTAGAGGCAGCTAGGTGGCGCACGTGGGGCCTAAAGTCAAGAAGACTCCACTTTGTGAGTTCAAATCTGGCCTTGGACACTTACTAATTGTGTGACCCTGGGCAAGTGATTTAACCCTGTTTGCTTCAGTTTCCTCATCTGTAAAATGAGCTGGCAAAGGAAATGGCAACCCACTCCAGTATCTCTGCCAAGAAAACCCCAAATGAAGTCATGAAGGGTCAGACACAACTGAACAATCACAAAGGTGTTTGCATTTTATCCTAGAGGCAATAGGCAGTCACTGAAGGGTTTTACTGATTAAAGGTTAAGTGACTTGCCCAAGGTCACACAACTAGCCTATCCAGGATGTTAATATAAGACCCTTAATTGAAACTATGGTGCTCTTTTCCATTGTACCTGCAGGTATAAACTCTGCATGTTTATATATTCTTGGGGATTAAATTATCCAGGTGTTTGGAGTGGGTCGTCAGAAAATGTTCATTTTAAATCACTGAAATTACTTAGGAGTGAGAAATTGATAGTGAGGAGTTTGGAGTCAGAGAATCTTAATTCACTTCCTGTGTGACCTTGGGCATTTCACTTAAGTTCTCTGGGTCTCAGTTCTTCATCTGCAAAATGAAGAATCAGATGAAATGATCTCTAATGTCCTTTCTGGCTCTAAATACACAAACTTAACTCTGGTGGTAAATAACCAGAGTATGCCCTTTTGGTCTCTAAATTCCAACTCATGACATCTTAAAGGGCTCCCCATATATTTTTAGGTCAGTGACACTGTGTCAAAACAGTTAAATTCAGCTGTCCTACTGACTTCTCACTCTAGATCAAAGTCATCAGGTGGAGAACAGCTAGAACCTTGATGATGGAAGGATGTCTTGCCCCCACAGGTTTGTAGGGTTAGGAGAGATAGTTCAATACAATGATTCTTCAAATTTCCTTTTAAGTCTATGAACAATCAATTAACAATTATTAAGTGCTTACTATATGCCAGGTACGGTGCTAAACTCTGGAGATACAAGGACAAGAGTGAAATAATCCCTGGCCTCAAGGAGCTTACATTCTAATCGAGGAGACAATATGTGCACATATGAAGACAAGGGAGTTTGGGGAGGGGGAATTGTAGAAGCTCTAGAAAGGGACCAGTAAAGATTTCATGAAAAAGGCACTTGAACTGAGCTTTGATGGAAACCAGGGATTCCAAGACTTGGAGATGAGGAAGGAATGCCTTCCAGGCATGGAGGATGGGGGGATGGGGTGGAGGGGGAGGCCTAGAGATGAGAAATGGGTTGTTAAATAGGCTGGTGTGTCAAGGAGGAGAGTAAAGTATAAGAAGACCTAGGAAGGTAATAAAGGAACAAGTTTTGAGGAAATGTCAATGTCAAGCCAAAGAGTTTATCTTTAATCCATCAGGCAGCAGGGAGTCACTGAAGATTGTTGAGTAGGGGGTGTGACATGATCTAACCTGAATTCCAAGAATTAACTGATTTCCTCTTTATCACTATCATTCGTTTAAGAAAAATGCTTCTGTTAGAAACAAGAAAAAATTGCAAATATGGATGCCAGACAAAATGAATATCATTTATTTAGAGGTGTTGCTGTCTTAAAGCAAAGTTTTCCAAAGAGAAGCCAGCTCATATTCCTTAGGGATTTTAGGTGTGGGGTTAGGTTTTAGGTGTTTCTGTGAGATTTCTCATTTTCATGTTTTAAATGTGTGTGAGGAGATTATTACTGAATCTAGCTCCTTTCTCATCTATCTCATCCCTTCTCTTTGCCCTTGGATTCTCACCTCTGGCTGCTTGCTGCCCATGGTATTTACTTTGAGCTTTGGGCTGCTGCTCCGACTACTGCTTTTTTGCCCCTTCAGCACAGTGTAATTTAGTAATCGATCAATCTAGAAGCATTTATTAATGCCACCCACTGTACTAAAAAATGGGGATGCAAAGAGAAAATTGGAAGAAGTCTGAGGGGGTGAATCAAGAAAATCCTCATATAGGAGTTGAAAGCCTGGAAAGAAGTTAGGGATTTTAAGAGACTGAAATGAAGAAGAATTACTTGTCAGGCATGACAAAGTCTGAGCAAAAGGACAGGGGTGGTAGATGGAATAGCATATAGGAGAAATGGCAAGAAGGCCAGTTTGGAGGGATCATTGACTGTTTAGAGGGAAGTAATGCATAATAAGGTTTTCAGCTTTGTTGTGAATGACTGTAAATGCCAAACAAGGAAGTTGGTATTTGATTCTAGAGATGAGAGGGACACACCAGGACTTGCTGAGTAGGTGTATGGCATGGTAAGGCCTGTACTTTAGGAATATTACTTTGGTGGCTATTTAGAACATTGGAGAGGAAAGAGACTGAAGACAAGGAGAACCATTATGAGGATATTGTGGTGACTTCCAGTTAACACGTCAACATGAAAGGCATTAGAGGATCTCAACTCTCCCACAAACACTCCAGCAAAGTTCTGAAAATGTGCCAGAAGGAATAATGATAAAGAAAACCTTAGAGGCATGGAATAAGCTTCTCCTTCTAATCCAGCACTGCATAAGAAGGCTGCCAGAAGCCTGCAGGTGTTCTGAGAGGAGACAAGATAGGGGAGGACAACTCCAGTTAGGCCTTAAAGATGGCAGGATCTCAGCCCTGGCCTGTTGTAGCAATAAAAGATAAAGCCTGTCCCCATGCCCACTGCA